AACAGTGAGAAGAGCAAGACTGAGTAAAGGGGTCCTTACTAAGATCATGCTTGGTTTAGGAATAGCCCAAACTTTGCTTATAAACCATTTTCCCTTCCACCTGGGGTCTTACCTGCTGTCTCAGGTCCTTGGCCATCTATTTCTGTTTTGTCAATTTTTATTATTTTAGGGTCATACAGTTTCTCAGATCCTGATGTAGCTGTGTCAGTTTGTTGGAATGATTGCAAAAGAATGAGGGTTAATAATTCTATCTTAGATCTAAATATTTCTTTTTTTTTTAAAGATTTTATTTATTTATTTGAGAGAGAGAATGAGACAGAGAGAGAGAGAGCATGAGAGGGGGGAGGGTCAGAGGGAGAAGCAGACCCCCCGCTGAGCAGGGAGCCCGATGTGGGACTCCATCCTGGGACTCCAGGATCATGACCTGAGCCGAAGGCAGTCGCTTAACCAACTGAGCCACCCAGGCGCCCCAGATCTAAATATTTCTAAAGCATGACTAAACATTTGTGAAAGCTGACTTAATGGTGATAGATAAATCCATTTATCTCCATAGTTTAACATAGGAAGTGGTAGTATTTTGTGTGTTAACATGAGCCATGTTTTGTAGCTACACTTTGTCATAAAATGGGTAATGGTTGAGTATCTTTGTTTCTTTTGTTACAGAATCTGTTCCCAGCTATACCACCAAAGTATCTTTTAGCCTTCAGCTTTGATGCCATCCATTAGAAGACTGCAGAATCTCCCTGTGCTGTGGAGCTATAAATCTTGGTGTTGTGGAATAATGGTTTGCGCTTAAGGACAAAGTCTAGAAACCACAGTCATAGTTAGGAAAAATGATTTTCAGATTTCACATTTGCAAATAGTTCTCTCTGTGGACTGGAGAATTGATAAGTGGGTTTATATATAAAAGTTCATTTGCATATACTTGTTTCCAAAGAATGCACATTTAATATTTTAGAAAATGTGTTATTTTTTTAAATTATAACTTAGAGACCAAAATCTGAAGTTGGTTACACTGTTTTTAGGAATCCAGGGATAAAGGGATTGTAAAAAGAGCATTTATATGGGGCTAGCCAAATGAGATTTTATTTTATTTTGAAAGAGTTTTAATGAATTATTTCTTTTACTAAGAAAAGCTTTCCTTGGGTTTATACAAACTGCTGTTTTCATATATTTTAATTGTATTTTGTAAGACTTTAGGTATAATTTGGGCATTGAAGGTAGAAAGAAGAGCTGGATTGTCTGCCCATGCATTGGGCACAGGATACTCAGATGGTGCGCTGGGAGTCCTCACAGAGGCATAGTGGTCCTGGCTGGTCCTGGGAAGACTTACGTGGCCTGCATGGATGGTCCTCCTGTTCTGAGTGGGTACCTCGGGGGTCCCAGGATGCACCTTAGAGCAGGGAGTAGAGGCAGTACCCTTAGGGACTCCTCCTCCTCCAAGGTGGCTTTACAAGGTAGCAGGGATGACTACTTGTCCATTACAGATGAGGAGTGCCCAGGAAAGCTTTCCTGACAGGTGCTACAGGAAAACTCTGCCCAGGCCACAATGCTGCAGTCCACAGGGAGCTCATGAGACTGTTTTTTTGTTGGCAAGGATGGGATTCATGATAAGGCTTTGGACTCTTACACCACATCATATGATTTGGAGAAATTGTACAAATGTCTATTTTTATACCACTATTTTGGGCTAAAGGAAACAGGACTGTGAGTTGAAGATAAGCTTTAACAAGTAGCTTTTATGACTAAGAAGAAAAAAGTGCATATATTTACATATACTCCTATATGAATCGACTCCTACATGGTCTAGTTCAGTGCCATCCAATAGAATTTTCTGCAGTGATGGAAATGTTCTTTAACTGTGCTGTCCAAATGTAGTGACCATCAGACATGTGTGGTTTTGACTACTTGAATAATGACTGGTATAAGTGAAGAACTTTTAATTAATTAAGGATTTTTAATTAAATTTAAATTTAGATTGCCACAGGTGGCTGCCATATTGGACACACAAGTCTAGCCAGTTGGGTTTTTTGGAAGAAAGGAAGAGTGATTTTTATTTTCTCTTATCTGAAGAACAGTCTGTCCCCAGAGGGCCCCCTATTGACACCCTCCATATTTTGTCTTGATAGATTTAATCATAATTCCCAGTGTTTTATCCTCAACAGATGCAAAAAAGGCAGAACATTCTAAAACCATATGGTAATGCTTCAGCGGAGGATTGCTTCAAGTTAAAAACAAACTCTGAGAAGTAGGTTAAGAGATGAAAAGAGTAGGAAAATGAGAAATCACTTCAACTGAACCTCAAACAATTGCATTTTTCTTTTTAACTCCTCAAAAATGGAATTGAAATTTATTAGTTGTACTACTTGAATGATTTTGAAATTTCATTTCATGCCAAGGTATACATTATATATAGCCAAATGGAAAATAAATCTTAAAAGGGGGCAAACAGGGGCTTTCACACAAATTGTCCATGAATAAAGTAAAATTTGTTTCAATAAAACCAGTCTTTTGTGCAAAAACCTGGTTTTGGTGCTACATATAAACAAAGGAAAAAGTATTGCAAAGTATATAATACATAATTGTTTCATGTTACATTATATCCCATACCAAATATATTGTTTGAATATAACATTTGTAGAGATATTATTTAATTTATTCATGTAAATGTAAAAATGCAGCACAATTATAGGGCATCTCAGTGGAAATATCATAGAGATTTGAAAATTTTACATGATGCATATGGACTGATTCATAATTTGGAAAAGGAATTTCCATAGCAGGATATATGTATGAGCATTAAAGCAATATGAATAAAAGAATAAAATGTAATTCCTAGAAGAAAAATGTTCTGGTTCCAAAAGCTTATTATTATACCCATTTTTCAGACGTTGGATTTTTAAGGGGCAGAGACACAGGTGAAATCATCGAGTAGTACATTTTAATTACCAGCAAGGACCACACCACATTTCTTAACTGGAGCTTTCTAGAATGACCATTAGGCATGCTTGCCAAACACCAGTTTAGGGTAACTTAATGATGATGGCAAACAGTAACCTCCAGAAATCATTTACTGTCTTTCCTTCTTTGTGTCCCTTCCTTCTCACCTCAGTGCCATCTCTTGAATCTCTCACTACTCCTGAGTGGGAAGGAAGCCTGCTTTGAGGTGTTGTGTTGTGGTGGGTGTAGGTTTATGCGATTCTCATTTCCCACGTCCTGATTCATAGGGGCACCAATTTGCCTAGCTTCTCCCACCCTACGTGTCGGTAGCAGTATGTGTTATTAGAGTAACTTTTGATCATGTAATAACATTTCTTGGAATTTTAAAGAACTTTCCAATTCTTTCCCGAAATTAAAGTTCTTGACTCCAGTCTTCATTGAGTTCACATATGGTTCAACATCCACTTCCCTTAATGTCCCAATGATCTAAATTCCATTTTCTAGTTTGTTTTCCTTATTGACATACTCCAAATCATTCCACCCATCCTTGCCTATCTTTGAATACTGTAGAGTCTGTCTGGAGATATCAACAGATGTTTCGAATCTCCCTGTATTTGCCATCTCTTTATTGTGCAAATGTGCACGCACGCACGCATGCACACGCATTCCAGTCTTTTCTGGAAGCTGATCGGCACTGGGACTCGGGGAGCCAGGATTGCAAGTCCAGCTCTTTTACTAACGCACCGTATAATCTTGGGAAAATCATTTCACCTTTTACCTACCTGTAAAAAATAGAGCTGGAGAAGACATTTCTAAGGCTGATTCTTTTTTTTTTTTAATAATTTTTTTTTAAAGATTTTATTTATTTATTTGACAGAGACAGAGACAGCGAGAGCAGGAACACAGCAGGGGGAGTGGGAGAGGGAGAAGCAGGCTTCCCGCTGAGCAGGGACTGATGTGGGACTCCATCCCAAGACTCTGGGATCACGACCCGAGCCGAAGGCAGCCGCTTAACGACTGAGCCACCCAGGCGCCCAAGGCTGATTCTATCTTTAACATTTTATGACTTGTCTTCTACTAAGAACCCCTTTTTATATTAACAACCCAGCATGTCCTCTCTACCTCACTGGTCACTTGGCTTCCAGCTCCTTATGGGCTGCTGGGCACCCTTGTTCTTTAGGCATGTGTTTGAAACTATCTTGTCCACTATTAAATGTTAAGTTTCTGGAGTTTGCTAAATAGATAGACAGACTGCGCCCAATATTAGAAAACGAATAGCAAATCTGTGAAGAATTTACCCACACATTTCTCTTGTGTTCCCAATACTTCCATCTGTGCTGAGATGTACAAATATTATTTCAGATATTGCCTCAAAAAAGGAAGTGTGCATCATAAAGAATTGCATTTTCTAGATATCCAAATCAAAGATACAGTGAGGTATCACCTCACACCCTTTGGTGTAGCTATTATTAAAACAAAAAAACCCAGAAAATAATTGTTGGTGAGGATATGGAGAAATTGGAACCCTTGTCCCTGTTGGTGGGAGTATAAGATGATGCAATTGCTATGGAAAATAGCATGGCAGTTCCTCCAAAAATTAAAAGTAGAATCACCATATGGTCCAGCAATTCGACTTCTGAGTATGTTGAAAGTAGGGTCTCAAAGAGCTAATGGTACACCTGTGTTCCTAGCGGTACTAGTCATAATAGCCAAGAGCTGGCAGCCTCCCAGATGTCTACAGATGGGTAGACAAAATGTGGTATATACATACCATGGGATGTTCTTCAGCCTTAAAAAGGAAGGAACTCCCATCACACGCTACAACATGAATGAAACTTGAGGACATTATGCTAAGTGAAATAAACTAGTGACAAAAAGACAAATACTGTATGAGTCCACCTCTATGAGGTCCTCAGGGTAGTCCTATCCATACAGACAGAAAGAAGAATGGGCATTAGTAGGGAGGAGGGGGAGGGAGAAAATGCGAGTTGTTTAATGGGTATAGAGTTTCAATTCTGAAAATGAAAAAGTGAAAAGTCAATGAGAAACTGAGCGTGCACTCCAGATGGGTGTATATTTATTTAATTACACATTGTGTCACAATACCATTTTACTAGTACAGTAACGCACATTATAAACTGTGCAACAAGAAATAGTAAAGTGCAAAGAAACATGAAATAGAGTTTGAAGGCTATCTCCCCGACGTGGGTGGATGGTCCTGCCGCAGTCCTGAGCTGCACGGACCCTGCTGTGGAGAACACTGCTTTGAGACCCAGGCTTTCAACCTAATGAAAACCATGGCAAATGCTTCCACAGGCTGACGTCACTGGGTCTGTGCAAGCTTCTGTGGGGAGAGAGGATCCACAGGTCTCGTGAGATTTCCAAATAGTTCTGTGAGCCATAAAGGCTTCGGTCTCAGTTCTCCCGAGAATGAGCAGAATGTCAGCGTCCTTTACACAAAACTGCATTGAATTGAAATTAACATCAACCCTTAAAAATCACATGAAATCAACCACTTTAAAATGAACAATTCAATGGCATTTACTGCATTCACAGTATTGTACAACCACCCCCTCCAACTTGTGCCAAACATTTTCATCACCACCCACCCTCTGCCCACAAAAAGCCCCATACCGATTAATGCCCTTCCCCGCAGCCCCTGGCAGTCACCAGGCTACTTCCTGTCTCTGGATTTACCTCTTCTGCGTATTTCCTATCCGTGGGACAGTACTACATGACTTTGAACCTGGCATCATGTGGAGGTCCACTGAATGGTCTCTGCGATAATCACCGCGACGATGATCAGAATGAAAAAACAGCAGCAAGCATTAGAGTTCCTGCAGCTGAGATTCCGGACTGTGTGGCAACAGGGCGCCTCACTCCAGGTGCTGACCTGGATTCTCCTCTCCACGTGGTGGTGGGTGTTTGGTCTCGGGCTCCAGTGGGTGGGGAGGATCGCAGCCTTTGTGGACACAGTATACCAGGGTTGGCGTAAAGCCTTTCCCTTGTTTCCCATGGCGTTCTCCTTCACCGCGTCCGCTCTGGCGTTCCCCTTCACTGTGTCCACTGGGGCGCCACTCCTAGTGGGAGAGGGCATGGGGATGGCAGTCCCAAGGGCAGGTGAGCTAATGGCAGGAAGTGACGGCAATCCTGGTGACTGCAGGGCCCCACCTGACCCACTCTGAGCACAAAAGCCCGACAGACATGCCTCGCAGTTGTTACTGTCATGCGGCCCTTCAAGAGAGATTTCCTTGATGGTAGGTATCGTCTCCATGGACCTAAAAACTTCTCTGTAGCATTTCTTCAGAATTCGGAACACCAGGTTGTTCAGGATCCTTGAGATGTTCTCTTTTGTGAACTCGGGAACCTCAAATGGAGACTGATCACACCTCTGACATCTCTGGGCAAAGACCCTCATCTTCACCTTGCCCCTGGGTTTCCCCCCACTCTTGTGCATGTGGAAAAGGACCTGAACTTGAGCAGAGGCCCAACTGCGAGAGCACAAGGAGCACTGGAACCTGCGGGGACAGAAGACGAGACCCTCAGCTTGGCCCAGGATGGCCGAGTTGTGGGCTGGGCCAGAGGGAGGAGGGGGCGCCCAACCACACAGAGACGTGACTTGACTGGGGTCGAGGTTAGTGGGGGAAGAAATTAGCGAGCCCCTGTCTCCCCTGTGCCACCAACGTGCCCCGTGACCCACAGGTGTCTGTCATGAAAATAGCAGATCACAAGCTGTTGGTGCTGGAAGGGACCTTCTAAGTCCTACACGATGGTTCTAGAGATGCGGCGCGTGCTGGAACCCATCGTGTGCAGAGACTTGGTGGGTGTAAGAAGCAGGACTAGACCTCAGGTCTCCTAACCCCAAACCAAGGCTTCTTCAAATGTAGATTGAAGTGGGTCAGAGGCTACAGGGGCAACAGCAGCTATTAAATCATCCCCCAAGAGCTCCGAACTGAAATCCACAGGTGGTACAAGTGGGTGTTGGTAGGTGCTACCATCTGAAAGTTTGTGTTTCCCCCCAAATTCACATATCGGAATCCGAACCTCCAAAGGTGATGATGTTAGAAGGCCTTTGGGAGGTGCTTAGGTCATGAGGGTGGAGCCCATGTGAATGTGATTAGTACCCTTATCAAAGAGATCCCATAGAGCCCCCTAGCTCCTTCCACCATGTGAGGATACAGGAGAAGTCCACAACCCAGAAGAGGGCTTTCACCAGACTAGCTGGCACCCTGATCTTGGACTTCCAGCCTCTAGAACTATGAGCAATACATTTCTGTTGTGTATAAGCTGCCCAGTCTGGTGTATTTTTTTTTTTTTTAATTTCATTTCATTTTATCTCATTTATTTTATTGCCACCCAAACAGACTAAGACAGTAAGTCGTAGAGCCACAGATCAGGGCAGGTCTAGTGTCTGGAGGAAAAGCATTGCTTTGCCCTGTTGCCCAGGGGCCCCCAATCTGCCAGTATTTTAGGGAGATCACTGTGTCCAGCTTTCTCTCCTTTTGCTCCCCCTCCAACCCAATTCATTGCTCAAGGTAGCCTGGAAAACTTCATATTCTGTGTGCACCTAGCCTCAGGATACAAGGGAATGACACCTCATCTCTGCAGGGAAGAGGGCAATTTCCTGAGCTCACATATTTGGACAAATATATGTCAGGATATGATGGAGAGAGGGGAAGAAGGCACACAAGAACATGGCTGCACCCAGGACAGGAATTATGGGAGAGGCAGAAGCTACAGTATGGCAGGGACAAATTATCCATGCACTCCCACCCACTTCCCAACCCCCTCGCAGTTAGGTTGGGCAATGTGACTGGTTGCCCAATGGGATGTGGGCAGTGACGTGTTATTTCCAGATCTGGCACAGAAGCTCTTGGAAAACCCTCCAGCTCCTCTTCCTCTGCCTCGGTGACATGGGGACCACGTGTTAGGTCAAATCATTGATATTTCGAGGTTTATCTGTTCTAGCAGCCAAGCCTCGACTAATCTGGGATGGTGAATTGGAGGGGGCTGGGAAGAAGGAGCCAGTCAAGGTTTCCTTCTTGTGTTTTGATTCTGGCCACACCTCACAGGGTGAACATGGCCATGAAATGAAGGGAAGAGGCCAAGAGGTTCTGACCACCATGAGTGAGATGGCCTTCCTGGGGTCATTCGGAGTCGGTGGTGCACAGGGCCCTGGGCTCTGCTCTCCTGAGCTGCTTCCCCTGGCCCTCCCTCTGGGTCATATTGCTCTGTTCATTGCCAGCTCAGAGTTCAAGGTTCTCACAAAAGAAGGGGGGGACTGAGATTTTGCTTGGACGCTCCTGGTGCCAGCTCCTGGCCCGGGAAAGCCACGGGCCACAAGGAGAGGAGACCTCTGCTTCCTCTGCCCAGACCCTCCCCCAGAGAGGAGGGCAGTGGGCAGGCACCGAGGCCCTGCCCCAGTCCCAGGAGAGAGTCTCAGGCCCCCACCCTCTGTGCAGGGGGGCAGCCCCACCCCCTGACCCTTGGGGCTCTGCTTTCCCACCTGGGAAAAAGAGTAAGGCTTTGGATGACTTCCAAGAGTCTTAGTTTAAAAGGATCCATCAGCCCAGAGCAGAGGGAGCAAGACTGCTGCATGTTGCTCAACCACCCTAACCTCTGCCCTCTCCTGGAGGGGCCTCCTCAGCCCACGGGACCTCTCCCTCCTGGGCTCCATAGTGAGCCCCAGGTCCTCCGAGGCAGGAACTTTGCCCACCCAGCTCTCCTTCAGCTGCTCCCCTTCCCTCTTCCTCACTGCTCCCCCCCAACCCCCATGCAGCCCACACCAGTGCCCAGTCCTGCTACTGTTTGGGGTTCACTGTGATAAAGAAAAAAACCCTTTACCAAAGCTAAAACGTCTTGCATGATGGGCACCGTACTTCCGGTAGTCTTCCATGCGCAAGCATGGGATAAAACAAGAAAAGGAGCAAGGATACACAGTAACGAATTTTCTGGAATACATACCATCCCTTTCCCCACTCACCTGGCAAAAGCCCTCTGCTGGTACTGTAACCATCCTGGCTTCAGGCTGTTGGGAAGAAGGTCTTTGTCTACTGTCAGGGTCCATTTGTGCCATGGCTTCACTTCCTGAATTAATTCCTGGAACATTTGCTCCCATAGCTCCATGTCCCGACTCGTCGTATGCTATGTGGTGAGCTGCATGCATCGGGATCTCCTGGAGACTCCGACGGGTCTGTAGCAGAACTTGAGGTTTCCTGCTTTAAAGAACAGGGACTGGGACCTGCTCTCCCTTTGTGTACCTGACCTGGGCCCATGGACCAGGCCTTTGCCTCAGGGACAAAGGTCAGTTGAATCTGGCTCCCAGTTCAGAGGACAGTGCTAGCCTCCTCCACAGGGAATTTCCAAAGACACAGAATGCATGGTTTCATCCAACAAAATATGACCACAGGACAGCCCCAGACTCTGGATTGGGTCTCAGGAGTGGATCTCAGTCTGGCTCTGCTGATTACCTGCCTTTAACCTGGAATACATCCTTTACCTCTGAAGCCTCTGGAAATGGTGGAGAGAGGCTGCAGGTGCTTCTTCTGTTCTAACACTTGGAAGTCCTTATCCACTGGGCTGCTGTGCTCGTGACTGGGGAGGAGAGATGCAGATGCAAAGAAGGACAGGGCCATCGTGGGCCCTCCCTGCTCCCTGCGTCCCTGCCCTGGGCTCTCTGCTTCCCGTTCAGGCGGGTCTCTGTATGACTGGATCTTACAGCCCCCAAGCTGTCCAAGGAGACTCCTGAACCTTGTCCTCCACCCATTAGAAACCAAAGCTGACACAGCCCGAGTGCCCGGATGAGGCTGCAAGGTCAGTCCCCACGTGGGTGAGCAGCCAGTGGCCACACCTGAATCCACTTCCTTGAGGAGAGGCTTGAAAAGGAAGGAGAGAGGAGCAGGGGGCAGGCAACGGCCCGGGGAGGGCGGGCAAGATTCTGGGTGTCTGCATGCCACGACCCCCTCCGCAGACAGCCTGCCACTGACCTGCGCCCCTGACCAACTGCTGCCCAAGAGGAAAGCCCCACCCTCGGTGGCCCGCTGCCCTGGCATCCCCCCAGCTGCCTCCGTGCCTCTCGGGCTACTCTCCATGCTGCAGCTGGGGCAGGGGCTTCTTTCCAGAGGTGGAAGCCCCCACCCGCACGCTGCATGTTCGCATGGCATTTGGACCCTCACAGGCCACCCCTGCCTTCTACCAGCCTCAGCCCTGCCCAGCTGATCTTCCCCCAAGCCCATATCCGCCCCTACACCCTAAGCCACAGCCCCTCGCTCCATGCCATCCTCTTAGACTCCTGCTGTCCCAGCCCTGCATCCTGTGCTCACGGCCACCCCAAGGAGGAGAGCCCCTGCCTTTGCTCCCAGGGCTCCTGCCCAGGTTCCAGGGCCCAACAGCGCACGCTCCATGTTGCACGCCCCCCTGAGCTGGACGCACCAGCCTCCTAGCTGCACCCGGAAAGAAATCTCAGCCAGGTGAGCAAGCTTGCTCCCTCCCCGCCCGTGGTTGTACAAATGCCAATGCTCTTCTGCATCGCAGAGCTGGTTCAGAGCAAGTGGAGAGCAGAGGGTGTTGAGACAAGAGCCTGTCTTACTTTCTGGCCTGGTATGAGATCTTGTGTGAAAATGTCACAGGCAGTTCTATGTTGTTAAAACCACCCTTGGCAGGGCGCCTGAGTGGCTCAGTCCGTTGAACCTCGGACTCTTTGGTTTCGGTTCAGGTCATGATCTTAGGGTTTTGAGATCCAACCCTGTGTCAGGCTCCGTGCTCAGCACGGAGTCAGCTTCAGATTCTCTCCCCCCTGCCCTTTCCTCCACTTGCGCTCTCTCTCTCTAAAATAAACAAATAAATAAAATCTTAAAGAAAAAAACCAACCCTTGAAAGCAAGTGTGCAAGGGGATCCTTGAAGATCCCCAGATAGCTCAGTGTTTCTTTGTCATGTAAAGTTTACTTTTAGCCCCTCGCTCTACTAAGAATATTCTAATTGGAAGACTCTGCCTTCTTAAATGATATAAGTATTTGAACGCAAGCATTAAAGAATGTGAGAAGGTTTGTCACATTTAAATTAACATAGGCTACGGTCGTTTGGGTGGCTCAGTGGGTTAAGCGATAGACTCTTGATTCTGGCTCATGTCATGATCTCAGGGTTGAGAGATCAAGCCCTCCATTGGAATCTGCCCTGGGCCATGGAGCCTGCTTCAGATTCTCTCCCTCCCTCGCCCCCTGTCCCTCCCCGCTCTAAGAGATTAATTAATTAATTAACATAGGCTAAATGTGTTCCCTCTAACTATCATGAGTAACATCATTTACCTGATCTTCCAGAGAATTCTGGGTTTCTGGGGTGGGGGCGGGGATGCCAAGGCCTAGGAAATAGCACAGGAGCTCAGCAGGGCTGAAGATAGCTGGAGATTTGTATTCCTCAGACCAGCCATGGAGTTCTCATTGAATTGGTCTGGGCGTCAGATCTCTTAAAAATTCCTCAAGTGATTCCAAGGCGGGGTTATTGTGGTCACCACTCCAGGAGGCTGAAGGGAAGGACAAGGTGGGCAGGTCCTAGTCAGCAATCCAGACCCAGAGCCAGGGGGGTCCCTCCCCCGCAGCGCTGTGGTGGGATCAGCAAAGCTTACAGATGCTGTTTTGGGGGAAGTGGGTCTAGGGCTGCCCAGTCGCCTCCACCAGCTGGGTCGGACACTGGCGGTCTGGGCAGTGGGCTCCCAGAGGAGGAGAGGGGGTGGATGGGGTGGGAGAGAGGAAGGGGAGGGAGGGAGGAAAAGGAAAGTTTGGGTGGGATGAGGAGGGAGGGGTTTCCTGGAGCCTCCGGGGCAAGCTCCTTCCTGGCCTCACTGCACCTGCAGAGGAGATTTATAAAGGGGGTGAGGGGACAAGGGACAGAATGGAGCTGGAGGTCAGGGGGTCTTTGGTCTGGGGCTCTGACCTGCTGTGTGACAGTGGACAAGTCATTTCAGGCCTTTTGAAGATGAAATGCCACGTTTTATGCAGAGGGCTACTAGGCATGCCTGGTGCCGAGAAGGGCCTGGAAGGAAGCCAACACTGGTCCCTGAAGCTTGACAAAAACAATTCCTAGGACCTCACTTGGAACAGTGACTCTCACAGAAACCCCTGCACTCTGGAAATGGGAATTTACGTGCAGACAGACAAGCTCTCCTCACTGCCTCTACCTGGCCAGGGTTCTGTCCCTCCCTTCCTGGTGGGCAATGGCCGCGGCACGGCCCTCCTCATACCCAGCTTCTAACCCAGAGGCCATTCTCCTCGCAACAGGGTCAGGGACACTTGCTGTCACTCTTTCTGAACACTGGCTGGGGTCTGGCTGTGCCGCGGGGGGGGGTGGGGGGGTAGGGGGGCCTTGTGTGAAAGCTTGGGACAGGCCCAGCTGAGCTTGGACAACACTCTGCCTTCTCGTTTCAGCTCCTGTGCTGAAAACAAGTGTCCTTTTCAGGTCTATTTGTGCAATGTGTGTCAGATTTTTTTGTGTTTTTTGTTGGCGATCTTGTTGTTTCAAGTGGCCCCGAAGCCTAGTGCTAGGTCTAGGGTGCCTAGTGGTGAGGAGGCTGGGATGTGCCTTCCGGAGAGAATGTGCGTTCGATAAGCTTCATTCAGGCATGAGTTCTAGTGCTGCTGCCTGCAAGTTCAATGTTAATACATGAACATGACTTACTACATAAGGTGTCTTTAAACAGAAACAACACAAGGTTATGGATTGCTCAGCTGACCAAAAGCTAGAGGCTGGCAGGAACTAAGTCTGCATTTCCCCGGGGAGCGATGGTTCAGTATTTTGCTATTTCAGTGTTCTTGGCAACTTTATGGACCATAACTGCAAATCATGAGAGGGGGCTGCATTTTCCTTTGTCTACCCTGTGGTTTATCTTCCCTCCCATCCTTCCATGGGGAGAGCTGGCTTGGTGAAACTAAACCACTTCTGAGCCTTGCCCTCACCTGTTACCCAGTTTTTGTTCAGAAAGTGCTAATGACTAGTGCAGTTAGCTCTAGTATTAGACCCTGCCAGATCTCCAGGCCGTCTGCTAGCCCCTGTCTTGTCTGTGACCCAGAGATCTAAGTGTCATTCTTTTCCCAGCCAGCCTTCTGGATGGGTGGTTATCACTGATCGAACGCACCGGGAACTGTAAATCCAGCCATTTCAGACTGCAATTTCTTTTTGCTCCGATGTACAAAATTGCCTGGACCCTGGGGAGTGGTGGATATATTCCAGGAAAACAAGTCCACTCCATCCTCAGCTCAGTGCTTTCCAAGTCCTGTGCCAAAGGCAGTCTGGCCCCTTCTGGCAGTCCCTTATCATCCCTTTCCCCTGTGGTGCTCCTGGGTCTCTCCCAGCAGTGAGAGCTGATATAGAGAATGAAGCTGATATAGAGAATGAAAAGGTTCCCGGGCTCAGTCCTGTGATGTTCCATTGTGTAGAAATTGGGAAGAGGAGGATGATCCAAAAAATGAGATGTCATGTTTCTGCAGTCTCTGCATCAATCCAACAGGAAAGAAATCATCTGTGTGATGCCATGAGGTGCCGACAGACACCACTAGGAGCCTCAATCACTCATTCACTGTGTGGTTGAGGAAAAGACACCAACAGACATCATTAGGATGTTCCTCCATTTATTCAAAAAATATTAGTGTCAGTTTCTGTGCTCCAGACACTAAGGCTACGGCGGCAAGTAAAACAAAGAGTACCCTCACAGAGCTTATGTTTTATTCAGCTGGGGAGACAGACAATGACCCAATAAACAAGCAAAGGCTGCCACGTGAGATGACATTCGAACCAAGACCTGTCTGAAGTGAAGGAATGGGCCAAGCATATATGGGGTAGAGGCACATTCAGATCAGAGGGGACAGCCCGTGTGAAAGCCCAGAGGTGGAAGTGGGTCTCGTGTGTCCGTGGAGGAGCAGGGAAACCAGGGTGGCCAGAATCAAGTGAGCGGAAAAGGAGTATATGAGGTTGGAGATGCAGCTGAGGGCTGCAGGGTCCTGTAGGATTTTATTCCTAGTGTGATGGGAAGCCAGTGAAGAGTTTTGGGTACGAGAGTGAGAAGGTCTGATTTCACATTGTGTGATCTCTGCCGTCTGACCTGTCCACTCAGGCTCTCTGCCGTCTCTGCAGTGAGCTAAGGACTGAATGGACGTGCCTGGTGGGTCAAGAACAAAGCAGGGAGACCCACCAGAAGGCTGCTACCCACTGGGTAGACAAAGGAAAATGCAGTCCCCTCTCATGATTTGTACTTCCCTGATGCCGAGTGATGCTGAGGACTTTTTCATGTGTCTGTTGGCCATTTGGATGTCTTCTTTGCAGGAATGTCTGTTCATGTCTTCTGCCCATTTCTTGATTAGATTATTTGTTCTTTGGGTGTTGAGTTTGATAAGTTCTTTATAGATTTTGGATACTAGCCTTTTATCTGTTATGTCATTTGCAAATATCTTCTCCCATTCTGTCAGTTATCTTTTGGTTTTGTTGACTATTTCCTTTGCTGTGCAAAAGCTTTTTATCTTGATGAAGTCTCAATAGTTCATTTTTGTCCTTGCTTCCTTTGCCTTTGGCGATGTATCTAGGAAGAAGTTGCTGCGGCTGAGGTCGAAGAGGTTGCTGCCTGTGTTCTCTCAAGGATTTAGATGGATTCCTGTCTCACATTTAGGTCTTTCATCCATTTTGAGTCTATTTTTGTGTGTGGTGTAAGG